GTTTACTTTCTACCATATCTGTTTACTTTCTACCATGTCTTTTCTTTCTACCATGTCTTTTCTTTCTACCATCTCTGTTTACTTTCTACCATCTCTCTTTACTTTCTACCATCTCTCTCTACTTTCTACCATCTCTCTTTACTTTCTACCATCTCTCTTTACTTTCTACCATCTCTCTTTACTTTCTACAGTCTCTCTCTTTACTTTCTACCATCTCTCTTCTTTCTACCATCTCTCTTTACTTTCTACAGTCTCTCTTTACTTTCCAACCATCTCTCTTTACTTTCTACAGTCTCTCTTTACTTTCTACCATCTCTCTTTCTTTCTACCATCTCTCTCTACTTTCTACAATCTCTCTCTACTTTCTACCATCTCTCTTTACTTTCTACAGTCTCTCTTTACTTTCTACCATCTCTCTTCTTTCTACCATCTCTCTTTACTTTCTACGTCTCTCTTTACTTTCCACCATCTCTCTTTACTTTCTACAGTCTCTCTTTACTTTCTACCATCTCAATTCTTTCTACCATCTCTCTCTACTTTCTACAGTCTCTCTCTACTTTCTACCATCTCTCTTTACTTTCTACAGTCTCTCTCTACTTTCTACATCTACCTCTCTCTTCTTTCTACCATCTCTCTTTACTTTCTACAATCTCTCTCTACTTTCTAGCATCTCAATTGTTCTACAATCTCTCTTTACTTTCTACAGTCTCTCTCTACTTTCTACCATATCTCTTTACTTTTTACCATCTCTCTCTACTTTCTACCATCTCTCTTTACTTTCTACCATCTCTTTTACTTTCTTACCATCTCTCTTTACTTTCTACCATCTCTCTTTACTTTCTACCATCTCTCTCTACTTTCTACCATCTCTCTTTACTTTCTACCATCTCTCTTTACTTTCTACCATCTCTCTTTACTTTCTACCATCTCTCTTTACTTTCTACCATCTCTCTTTACTTTCTACCATCTCTCTCTACTTTCTACCATCTCTCTTTACTTTCTACCATCTCTCTCTACTTTCTACCATCTCTCTTTACTTTCTACCATCTCTCTCTACTTTCTACCATCTCTCTTTACTTTCTACCATCTCTCTCTACTTTCTTTACCATCTCTCTTTACTTTCTACCATCTCTCTTTACTTTCTACCATCTCTCTTTACTTTCTACCATCTCTCTCTACTTTCTACCATCTCTCAACTCTCTTTACTTTCTACCATCTCTACTTTAAGGACACAAGACACATGTGCAACAGTTGGGTATCTTTACTGGTGAAATATTTTGCTTACACAGTAGGATTCTTCAGTCGAGTACAGAAGAATGAGTAGAAGCAGAGGAGATGCAAAGACGATATAATCAGTCCATCAGCCTTGAAGATGTAGTTTAGAGGTGGTCAGTCCCTCAGCCTGGAGAAGAGTAATGATCCATAGTCTGGAACATGTGAAACTGGAGGGACTTAATACTGTCAGAAGGTGAGGTGTAGTCCACCAGTAGAAAAAGAATGTAGCCATTGAGAAGATTTGTTACCTTTGTAACCTGTTCAGCTATCAAAACTTTGAGGCCCAGTCCCTGTACCTCTGTAATGTTGAGGTACAGTCCCTGGACCCATTATGTACCTCTGTAATGTTGAGGTACAGTCCCTGGACCCATTATGTACCTCTAATGTTGAGGTACAGTCCCTGGACCCATTACGTACCTCTAATGTTGAGGTACAGTCCCTGGACCCATTATGTACCTCTGTAATGTTAAGGTACAGTCCCTGGACCCATTATGTACCTCTGTAATGTTGAGGTACAGTCCCTGGACCCATTATGTACCTCTGTAATGTTGAGGTACAGTCCCTGGACCCATTATGTACATCTGTAATGTTGAGGTGCAGTCCCTGGACCCATTATGTACCTCTGTAATGTTGAGGTACAGTCCCTGGACCCATTATGTACCTCTGTAATGTTGAGGTGCAGCTCCCTGGACCCATTATGTACCTCTGTAATCTTTTTGACCACCGCCCACAGGGTGGGTCTGGTGTATATAATAAAGGTATTTCTCTTAACAAATACTAAACATTGAGAAGATCAGGTCCCTCTTAAATCCAGCCATCTTTACTTCTGATGAATTAGAAACACGTACAACACTTGGGTATCTTTACTGAGGGAACTTTTGCCATACAGTGGCTTCATCAGTCCTTATGAAGAGTAGTGAAGAACTGGAGGAATTTGAGATAATCAGTCCCTCAGGGACTTAACCTGTCATTAGTACTCGAGTACAGTGGTCAAAGCCACTTAACCTATCATTCATACTTGAGTAAAGTGGTCACATCACTTAACCTATTATTCATACTTGAGTAAAGTGGTCACACCACTTAACCTATCATTCATACTCGAGTAAAGTGGTCACACCACTTAACCTATCATTCATACTTGAGTAAAGTGGTCACATCACTTAACCTATCATTCATACTTGAGTAAAGTGGTCACATCACTTAACCTATCATTCATACTTGAGTAAAGTGGTCACATCACTTAACCTATCATTCATACTTGAGTAAAGTGGTCACATCACTTAACCTATCATATATACTTGAGTAAAGTGGTCACATCACTTAACCTATCATTCATACTTGAGTAAAGTGGTCACACCACTTAACCTATCATTCATACTTGAGTAAAGTGGTCACACCACTTAACCTATCATTCATACTTGAGTAAAGTGGTCACATCACTTAACCTATCATTCATACTTGAGTAAAGTGGTCACACCACTTAACCTATCATTCATACTTGAGTAAAGTGGTCACATCACTTAACCTATCATTCATACTTGAGTGAAGTGGTCACATCACTTAACCTATCATTCATACTTGAGTAAAGTGGTCACATCACTTAACCTATCATACATACTTGAGTAAAGTGGTCACATCACTTAACCTATCATACATACTTGAGTAAAGTGGTCACATCACTTAACGTATCATTCATACTTGAGTAAAGTGGTCACACCACTTAACCTATCATTCATACTTGAGTAAAGTGGTCACACCACTTAACCTATCATTCATACTCGAGTAAAGTGGTCACACCACTTAACCGATCATTCATACTTGAGTACAGTGGTCACACACTTAACCTTTCATTCATACTTGAGTAAAGTGGTCACACCACTTAACCTATCATTCATACTTGAGTAAAGTGGTCACTCACTTAAGATCATTCATACTTGAGTAAAGTGGTCACACCACTTAACTATCATTCATACTTGAGTAAAGTGGTCACACCATTTACCTATCATTCATACTTGAGTAAAGTGGTCACACTTGCCTTCATTCATACTGAGTAAAGTGGTCACACCACTTAACCGATCATTCATACTTGAGTAAAGTGGTCACACTTGTCATTCATACTTGAGTAAAGTGGTCACACCACTTAACCTATCATTCATACTTGAGTAAAGTGGTCACACTTGTCATTCATACTTGAGTAAAGTGGTCACACCACTTAACCTATCATTCATACTTGAGTAAAGTGGTCACACCACTTAACCTATCATTCATACTTGAGTAAAGTGGTCACACTTGTCATTCGTACTTGAGTAAAGTGGTCACACCACTTAACCTATCATTCATACTTGAGTAAAGTGGTCACACCACTTAACCTATCATTCATACTTGAGTAAAGTGGTCACACTTGTCATTCGTACTTGAGTAAAGTGGTCACACTTGTCATTCATACTTGAGTAAAGTGGTCACACCACTTAACCTACTCATACTTGAGAAAGTGTCAATTGTCATGTACTTGAGTAAAGTGGTCACACATTGTCATTCATACTTGATTAAAGTGGTCACACCACTTAACCTATCATTCGTACTTGAGTAAAGTGGTCACACATCTATTGGTGTGCATTTCATTACTTGAGTAAAGTGGTCACACCACTTAACCTATCATTCGTACTTGAGTAAAGTGGTCACACTTGTCATTCGTACTTGAGTAAAGTGGTCACACCACTTAACCTATCATTCGTACTTGAGTAAAGTGGTCACACCACTTAACCTATCATTCATACTCGAGTAAAGTGGTCACACCATTACCTATACTTTGATAAAGTGGTCACACTTGTCATTCGTACTTGAGTAAAGTGGTCACACTTGTCATTCATACTTGAGTAAAGTGGTCACACCACTTAACCTATCATTCGTACTTGAGTAAAGTGGTCACACTTGTCATTCATACTTGATAAAGTGGCACACCACTTAACCTATCATCATACTTGAGTACAGTGGTCACACTTGTCATTCATACTTGAGTAAAGTGGTCACACCACTTAACCTATCATTCGTACTTGAGTAAAGTGGTCACACTTGTCATTCGTACTTGAGTAAAGTGGTCACACCACTTAACCTATCATTCGTACTTGAGTAAAGTGGTCACATCACTTAACCTATCATATATTTCCCTCACTATCAATACTTATTCTTTTATTCTCTCTCAATTTCCATTTTTATTCATATTAACTTCATGTTTTTAATACATAAAAAACGCTCCTACATATATAATATCAACCACAAATCAGCCAGCTTATTATACTCAGTTTTTTTTATCTTATTTCACTTATTATTAACAATTTGGCTTATTTTTATTTTTTATATATTGTTTATTATATTTTAACACAATTTAATATACATAAATAAAGTGAATTATAATTTTTTGGTAAAAATCTGGCGTCTGGCCGATAATGTTCCATTAACAATAATTACGAAGAAAAAAGTATATGGACGGAGTTTATAGTTTTTTTCGGAAATAGATAAAATATATTAATCCATAACCCATGTCAAAATATACCAAAAAAATAGGCCTAGTCTGCCTGAAATAACTAGGCCTACCACAACCACTTATAATTAACATTCCACGTAAACCCAACATTGTAAACTTTACGAGGAAATAAATATTTTATATTCCGATGAATATGTAAACTAGAATAAGACAGATAAGAGATATAAATATGTTAGATGTTATTAATATGGTCAGTGTGGTGGTGACCGCCGTCGGGGGAGGACACTCGCGCTCCTCAATTTTTATCTATTATTCCCTTTAATATCCCTCTTGGAGCTACAAAACCAGTGATAATTAACATTATTTTATTCAAATATACATTTTGGATACTCATTTAGTGGTTAAAATTAATTTTTTTTTGTGATACGAGTATTATCGAGATAAATATTAATAGTGAAGAATTATTGGTATAAGAGGTATTAATAGATGGGTAGGCCTAGGTAATAGGCTCAAAAAAAGGGTAAATATTGTAGTGAGTGCGGAAGAATACGTCAAGATGTACACGGTGTCCCGTGGACCCAGCAGAATCATAAACCGGACCAGGAGGGGTGAGAAACACATATTTCACCTTAATTAACCCCTATAATAACCTCCCCTCCCCCGTGACACACTGCCTATATCAGATTAACACCAGTCTACGTGTAATTAACATTAATTTAACCCGCAGATTTAAGCCAGAAACTTGAAAATTTGGATCAAGTTAACAGGAAGAAAAGTGACCAACAACACACTGACATGAGGTTAGTACCGCTATGTAAACTAGTTCCTTATTTTTAACCTCTGTTTATCTTATTTCATACTTGTTTATTCGCTTATTTCTCTGTTTATTCGTATTTTTGGTATTTGGTTATTACTGTTGTATTCTGTGTTGTATTTTAAGTACGTAAACCAACTGTCTTTATTTCACCTCTATTTATCTTATTTAATCGTTATTTATTCGCTTATTTCTCTGTTTATTCGTATTTTTCGTATTTGGTTATCACTGTTGTATTCTATGTATTATTTTAAGTACGTAAATTAAGTTTCTTTATTTCACCTCTATTTATCATATTTAATCGTTATTTATTCGCTTATTTCTCTTTTTATTCGTATTTTTGGTATTTGGTTATTACTGTTTTATTCTATATATTATTTTAAGTACGTAAATTAAGTTTATTTATTTCACCTCTATCTTATTTAATCATTATTTATTCGGTTATTTCTCAAATTATCTTATTTAATCCTTATTTATTCGCTTATTTCTCTGTTTATTCGTATTTTTGGTATTTGCTTATTACTGTTTTATTCTATACATTATTTTAAGTTCATAAATCAAATGTCTTTATTTCACTTATATTATCTCGAAATTATCGAATAAATAAATAACGTTATTTAACATTTTTTTATATTTAACAATTACAGTACTTCAACCTGGGTTAAATAAATAATTTAACCTGGCAGATCCAGTCACATTATTACACTTAAATTATCTAATTATTATTTATTTACTAAATAATTTAGTTATTTAGCATCATTTCTTATATTTGAATTATCAATGTATTTAACTTTAATTCCAAAGATAATTATTTTACCCAGGCAGATCCAGTCACATTATTACATGTTTAATTATCATTTATTTACTCATTTACATGTCTAATTATCATTTATTTACTCATTTACATGTCTATCATTTATTTACTCATTTACATGTCTAATTATCATTTATTTACTCATTTACATGTCTAATTATCATTTATTTACTCATTTACATGTCTAATTATCATTTATTTACTCATTTACATGTCTAATTATCATTTATTTACACATTTACATGTCTAATTTTCATTTATTTACACATTTACATGTCTAATCATTAACTCATTTACATGTCTAATTATTATTTACTCATTTACATGTCTAATTATTCATTTACTCATTTAGTTATTTATTTACTAAGTCAGTAAGTTTATCCAGGTATACATAAACACAGATACATGTATTATCATACATAGCAGTATATGTGTAGACAACATGTATTATCATACATAGCAGTATATGTGTAGACAACATGTATTATCATACATAGCAGTATATGTGTAGACAACATGTATTATCATACATAGCAGTATATGTGTAGACAACATGTATTATCATACATAGCAGTATATGTGTAGACAACATGTATTATCATACATAGCAGTATGTGTAGACAACATGTATTATCATACATAGCAGTATATGTGTAGACAACCTGCAATATCATACATAGCAGTATATGTAGACAACATGTATTATCATACATAGCAGTATATGTGTAGACAACCTGCATTATCATACATAGCAGTATATGTGTAGACAACCTGCATTATCATACATAGCAGTATATGTGTAGACAACATGTATTATCATACATAGCAGTATATGTGTAGACAACCTGCATTATCATACATAGCAGTATATGTGTAGACAACATGTATTATCATACATAGCAGTATATGTGTAGACAACCTGCATTATCATACATAGCAGTATATGTGTAGACAACCTGCATTATCATACATAGCAGTATATGTGTAGACAACCTGCATTATCATACAAAAGCAGTATATGTGAACAACATGTATTATCATACATAGCAGTATATGTGTAGACAACCTGCATTATCATACATAGCAGTATATGTGTAGACAACCTGCATTATCATACATAGCAGTATATTGGGGGTGCTTGAGGTTCCTAAACCTGTATTCCCTGGAATGCAGGCGGGAGAGATACATGATTATATACACCTGGAAAATCCTAGAGGGACTAGTACCGAACTTGCACACGAAAATCACTCACTACGAAAGCAAAAGACTTGGCAGACGATGCAACATCCCCCCAATGAAAAGCAGGGGTGTCACTAGCACGTTAAGAGACCATACAATAAGTGTCAGGGGCCCAAGACTGTTCAACTGCCTCCCAGCACACATAAGGGGGATTACCAACAGACCCCTGGCAGTCTTCAAGCTGGCACTGGACAAGCACCTAAAGTCAGTTCCTGATCAGCCGGGCTGTGGCTCGTACGTTGGTTTGCGTGCAGCCAGCAGTAACAGCCTGGTTGATCAGGCTCTGATCCACCAGGAGGCCTGGTCACAGACCGGGCCGCGGGGGCGTTGACCCCCGGAACTCTCTCCAGGTAAACTCCAGGTAATGTGTGTAGACAACATGTATTATCATACATAGCAGTATATGTGTAGGCAACATGTTTTTATTTATTTATTTATTTATTAACAATTTAAGCACACATACAGAGGTACAAAAAAATACAGATAAGAGCAGCATGCCAAAGCCACTTATATGCATAGCATTACGGGCTGGCTTAAAATTAACTTAAGATTAACTAAGCAATGATGAAATCAGTGATAAGACATTATTGTAAACAGATAACTATAAAGCACAAGTGAGTATTACAAAGACAGGTCATATGGTTGCATGCATTGTTGTACATTCAGTTGTATGGAGTATTCTGTTAGGTAGTGTATTTAAAAAATAATAAAGTTAGATTGGGTCCTAGGTTTAACATTTATGTGATATAATTGTGAGAAACATTTAAGATATACAATTTATAAGGTTAAGTTATTCAGTATTTATTTGGTTTTGGGTGAGTAAGTGATCTTTGAGAAGAGACTTGAATTTATAAACAGTAGTTTTTCTTTTATATTTACAGGTAATGAATTCCAGATTTAGGGCCTTTTATGTGCATTGAGTTTTTGCATAGTGAGAGATGGACACGAGGAACATCAAAGAGTGATCTGTGCCTTGTGTTATGGTCATGTGTTTTGTTGAGGTTGGCAAGGGAGATGTTGAGGGGAGGGTTAATATCAGAGTTAAGTGTTCTATGTATGTAATAGGTGCAGTAATAAGTATGGATGTTTTGTATGGTGAGTAGGTTTAGTGTATTGAATATTGGTGGAGTGTGCTGCCTGTAGTGAGAATTTGTTATCATTCTGACTGCAGCCTTTTGTTGGGTAATTAGTGGTCTGTGATGGTTAATTGTTGTTGAGCCCCATGCACAAATTCCATAGGTGAGATAGGGGTAAATAAGAGAGTGATATAGGGCCAGGAGGGCTGACTGTGGAGCACATGACCATAACACATGACCATAACACAAGGCACAGATCACTCTTTGATGTTCCTCGTGTCCATCTCACACTATGCAAAAACTCAATGCACATAAAAGGCCCTAAAATCTGGAATTCATTACCTGTAAATATAAAAGAAACACTACCTGTTTATAAATTCAAGTCCCTTCTCAAAGATCACTTAACTCACCCAAAACCAAATAAATACTGAATAACTGAACCTTATAAATTGTATATCTTAAATGTTTCTCACAATTATATCACATAAATGTTAAAACCCAAAACCCAATCTAACTTTATTATTTTTTAAATACACTACCTAACAGAATACTCCATACGACTGAATGTACAACAATGCAAGCAACCATATGACCTGTCTTTGTAATACTCACTTGTGCTTTATAGTTATCTGTTTACAATAATGTTTTATCATGATTTCATCATTGCTTTTGTTAATCTTTTAAATTAATTTTAAGCCAGCCCGTAATGCTATGCATAGTATAAGTGGCTTTGGCATGCTGCTCTTATCTGTATTTTTTTGTACCTCTGTATGTGTGCCAAATTGTTAAAATAAATAAATAATAGTACCGTATCTTCGTTAGTATGCCTACAGTCCCTTGGGAAAATTTTTTTAGAAATTTGTTGTATATGTGTATGAAATTTGAGTCTATTATCAAGGTGGATTCCTAAGAATTTTTCCCTCTGTTACTTTGTGATAGGTGATCCATTATCATTATGTTAAGAGGTACATCTGTTGCTCTGTTACCAAACTGAATGAAGTAGGTTTTGTCAATGTTTAGTGTAAGTTTGTTAGTCCTCATCCAGGTAGATATTTTCTGTAATTCGGTATTTACAGTATTGGCTAGCGTGACTGGGCTCGGGTGAGAGAAGACGTATGTAGTATCATCTGCAAATAGTGTGGGTTTGAGTAATTGCGAAGCATTTGGTAGGTCATTATGTATAGGAGAAAGGAAGAGGGCCAAGGACACTTCCCTGTGGGACACCAACTGTAATTGGTTGTGCAGAAGAGTTTGCCCCATTTGCGTACACATATTGGCTTCTGTTGCTGAGGTATGACTTGAGGTAGTTGAGGGAGTGCCCTCTTATACCATAGTGTGACAATTTTACGTGGAGCAAGTCATGGTCAACTGTATCAAAAGCTTTATGTAAGTCAATGAAGATCCCCAGTGGGACTTCTTTTTTTTTCTGTTGCAGTGTATATATGTTCTAGCATGGTTTAATAGCATCATTAGTAATTTTATTAGGCCTGAATCCAAATTGGCAGGGGTTGAGTATGTTTTTGGGAGATAAGGTAGGAGTAGATTCATTTATGAATTAATTTTTCGAAGATTTTTGAGAGGGGGTGTAAGTTGGATATTGGCCTATAGTTATTCAACTCTGTTTGGTCTCCTCCTTTTGGATCGGGGTGACCCTTGCTATTTTGAGTACTGTAGGGAAGGTGGAGGATCAATGGATTTTAAAGAGTGTTGCAATGATTGGGGATAGCACTTGTGACACTTTTTTGTATATAAAGGTGTAAGGTATTTAATCTCCGCCTTGTTTTTTAGGCGTTGATAATAAGGGAGATTTTCGTGTGGGTTAGTCGGAGCTGGAACAGTGTGTGGGGTAGTGCCGGT